ATATATATATATATATATATATATATAATTAATTAATTAATTAATTTAATGATTTCCTTGTATATTTGTCAATAGGTCACTTGAAGCATTTGGATGGTCATATCGAAGAGGTTCCGTATTTCTGTCTTCCAGCAAACGATTTAACTGATGTCATCGCTCCTTCTTGCTATAGGTGAATAATTAAATTTACAATAAACGTAATTAAATATACGTAATTGTTGACTCTTTCAATCACAAACTAAAATTGACAATAAACGTGGTTGCGAAAATGAGTTAAATTTCACTTTATTAAAGTATTTCAACCACGTATAGAATAATGATAATCTTTGATGAGGGCGAACTGGTAATTCCACTAAAATACCTTATCGAATATCACTAGTCTGTAGAAATAATTTTTTTTTTCGAACATGATTAATTATCTGGCTACGCATTTCTTTATCTAATCGTTAATTTTTTTTTATATTTTTTTTTGTTTCACTGCCAGCTGCTTTGACTACACGAATGCTTTAGCGGTGAGTGATTACACATAATAATCAAAAGATTCGTTATAATGTTTTGCACTTTACCGTTAATATAAAATGCGAGGAAAAAAAAACCCGTATCGAATTAAAAAGAATGCATAATTTCCAGGATTTGGTAGTGGGTTACATGGGCGTACCGAAATACGCTGGAGTTAGCATGACGCAACATCCACAATACGTCACCGTTAGGTACTTAATTTCTGAAATTATTCGATTCCGAAATATGATTTATACCTTTTTATCTTAGCTCCGAGTCATTTGTTATTTATCGATTTTTTATTTTTATTTTTAAATGTAAGAAATGAACGTGGAAAGGAGATGCTAAACCTTGTGAAAGATCTTCTGGAAGTCACTCCCACAATTAGTTCGGTAATGAACATATTTCAGTATCATATATATATATATATATATATATATATATATATATATATATATATATATATATATATATATATATATTCTAATTGGATAGATTATTGTTCCAGGGCGGAAGGCGTCCATTTGTCATGGAAACTGTGAAGGCAGATGATAATGCTAAACTAGGTACGCAAACGGCATTTTTCGTAGTTTGATGTATTTAAGGTTTCATAATATTTCAATGTAATATTCTTTCTTTCTTTATTTATTTATCCTTATTTTCTTCTTCAGGAAAAGGCCCATCTCAGACTGTTCCGAAATTCATCGGTGAAGTAATAGCATTCATTTTAAATCTAGTAAGAAGAATTCTTTGCTCTTGGAATAACATGCAATTAATATATATATATATATATATATATATATATATATATATATATATATAATGTTTTGTGTATGTATCCTGATATTGATTTTTATGTTATAAAAAGATTGGTCCTAAAGGTCTGGAATTCGCCCGTTATTCGTTGGATTATCACACTATCCGAAACTACCTTTATGTAAATCGGGCATGGGGAAAAGAAAGGTACGTCAAAAAGGAACATAAATTTCAAGATTTTTTTTATATAATAAATTTCAAGATTTAATTTGTGTGAATTTTGTAACATCTGTGATTGCAGAGCTGATAGGCACATGCCATCGTACGCAAAGAAACTAGTGTCGATGTACAATCAAAACGGAGAAATTGACAAGATGCTTTCCGATCGAAAATGAATTTTCAGAGGGTTTACTATTTAATTAATATTTTCACAATTATATGTTTTTTTTTTTGAATTTATTTATGATGAAAGTTGTGAACCTCGGAATTTTGTATATGAAGTAAATTCAAATTTTTGTTACTCTTTAGGATTCAGTTTTTTTCCCTCCAAATTCGTGCTACTTATTGAGCTGAGTTGCTGCCAGAAAAAAAAAAGAGAAATGTTAAATTACAGTTACCTCCCATGAGATTTGGTCTAATTATAACGAAACCCCTCTTTACATTTAAAAAATTATAAATACCCCCCTATCAGGTTACGGATATGTCATAAACTTTAACGAAAACCGTGAAATGTTTAAAGGTTAATAAGTAAGGGTGGAAATTGGAATATAATTTTTGACTTCTGGCGAATTAGATCTGAATATTTCCAATTTCGCAAAATATATTTTTTATTCCAAGAGTTCCGAGTTTCAATTTTTTTTGGAACGTAATTGGAATACATGTAAGATTCCGATTTCATATTCGAATTAAATTTCCGAAAATTCGATTTTTTTGTTTTTCGATAAATATACTTATAATATCAATATCATTATATATTTTATATTATATTTGATTGAATAAAAAATGGAAATTTTGAGTTCTGCTGATTCCACTTTAATTTTTTTTTTTGATTTTTAGACAAGTTTTTTGATTCCAATTTTAAAATTCCGATTATTTTTAAAGGAATTGGAATTACTGTTTCACTTTTGAATAAAATGGATTTTTTTAGTAAATACCAATTCATATCCAATCCTTTCGATTTCGACCCCCAGTCATAAGACACCTTGAATTGCACGTTGTGTATCAGCCACAAGGCCTAAATGGCATTTTCACAAGTTGGGTAAAACTAACCCTTAATCGAACCGTAATTCAACAGACCAGTTCTAGGTCAACAATTAATCGACCATTGGCCAATTACTGGCCAATTACCAGTCTTATTCGGGTCGGGGTCACAAAAATGCTCCATCATTTCGTGGGCCCTAGCAAACTAGGGCATATGAGAATAAAGGCTATCTTCCAAACATTTGTGATGAAACACTTCAATAAAATGGAAGGTGCATAAAAACAAGAAAGAATGGGCTTTCTTCATGAGGAAACTACAAAGATGTACATTTGTTGACCGTCCCATGTGCTTTCTTCTCTCGTAAATGCAGCGTACAAGTCCAATAAGACCTAAATCAATTTGCTGAAATCTCTTCTGGCGCAACTGTCCAGGCTCACTGAGGCAAGTAATTAAAAGAAAGAATTGATACCACATTGAATTTCTAGTAAGAAGGATTGAATAATCCCTAAGTCCTAACTATAAACACCTCATCATTTTCAATTATATATCTTGATGTAAACTATTTATTTTACCTTGCAAAAAAAAAAAAAAAAAAACTTATATTAAGGTTTGAAATTGACTACTTTGCCATGTTAAGGACTTGTTTGGTGTGGGCCAACTAGATAGATGTTAATTTGCCTTGTAGAATCAAAAGCATGGGAACTCATGTGGGTTGTTCAAGTATGTGTTGCTTTTCATTTTCTCTATTCCCTCCCCTTTTTTAACTTCTCTCATTGTTTTGCATGATGAGTACTTTTTTGGGTCATCTATATTATTATTCTAATACCGATTCGAAACAAAACCGATAAAAACTCGTTTGAGCTCGATTCTTTAACATAAATAATATAATTGAACCTGTGGTTCGAATTCCGTTGCCAACGGCCGCTAGATGAAGCTTGTAACACATGGTTAGTCTAGTGTGATTTACGACGTATCTTGTATGGTTTAGAAGCTATTATACAAAGAGTGTGGGTTTACTCATTGCACCTAAATGGTTGGCTGCATTTTGGTTCATTACCAAAAAAAAAAAAAAAAAAAATGTTAAAGCCAGTTTGAGCATGGTTATCCGTACGATAATCAAATCAAACTCTATTAAAAAATTTAAAGCTCAATAAGAAAAGAAATCGAACAAAAATCCGAACAATCATGTTTTCGACTCGACTCGATTGACTCATACCTATATGTGAAAGTAGATTCATAAATGTAATTGATTATGTGCTTTGACCAAATTTTTAGGTGATTGTGGAAACGGATACCCAACTTACCCCTAACATGGAGGGCCTAAAACATCATTCATCTAGATTTTCTTGATAGGATAAACATTAGGCTATATGTATATACATACATATAATGTGTGTGTGTGTGAGAGAGAGAGAGAGAGAGAGAGAGAGAGAGAGAGAGAGAGAGAGAGAGAGAGAGAGAGAGAGAGAGTTTGTATAGATTCACTTAGTTTGCAGTTAGGAAGTAATAAATGTTTGTACATCCATTTTGGTGAGGCAGATAGCAAATTTATGAAATAGAGAATGAATGTTAGTATGTTTTATGACACATAATTATAGAATTTGTGGATGTAATGATTTGAATGGAATCAAAAGTGTCTCTCATTCATTAATATATTGTCCTTTGGTACTTTTTAAGATACCCTATTACCTGTTTTCGAAAGTGACTTCCCCTTTCTCAAGTCATACATAATGCCCTATCCGACGTGGCATTACTTCAATCTTTGGTTCAAACCAAAAAACCAACGTAAATTTCGTTTTTACCCTCGTCGAAATATTGTTTTACGAATATCTCGTTAGGGTAAAAAGAAAAGGGTAAGTTACGGATACCCTTTGATGTAGGACTAAATAATTTACGAATCTCTATTGTATTGATAATTACAAAAATACTTCCCTAAAACTAACAATACGTTACAAATCTTAACTAAATGAATGAATTGTCTAAATTAGTTTTTTATTAAACAAACAAACTATGAGTAAAGTACAGGCAACCTTTGAAGTAGGATAAAATATTACATTCACTCCTTTAGGATGTATTTAAAATTTCAGAATGAATATTCTATGGAATCTTAAGATTGTAAATGTAAGATGACGAATTAACTCAGGGGATATTTGTAATTATCAATACTACATGGACTTGTAAGTTATTTAGTCTTATCTCGAGAAGGTGACCGTGATTTATCCTAAAAAATGAGGCAACGGTAACTTTTTGCTGACATCGCCAATTTTCGATAAATCAAAGATCAAATGAGGTTTAAGTGTTAGGTCGAAATTAAATTTTTAAGAAGATTTGACTTTTAGAATAATTCTCATAGACTCATAGTACTTTGTCACTTGTTGTGTGTGGCCTCTATCCATCCATGTTGGCTTAGAGAGTTTTACATGTACAATTGTTCCTAACACAAAACAAGTGAAGAGTCTTCATCACATTTAATTGAATAAATCTAAAATATAGATTTTTTTTTATTTAAAAAAAAATAAAAAAATGCTATGGAATTATGGAGACAGTGCCCACCATATTCAATGGATCCCCATTTGGACCAATTTTCTGGAGATAGATCCCATCATCAACTCTTGTAATAACTTAATAAAATGTGGACCAAAATTGAAAGAATATGAAAGTAGAGAGAGAGACATTTCATCAAACACTTTGTACTCATAAAACTCTTGTACACAAAAAAGAAATTAAAAATAATTAAAAAAATAAATAAACACATGAGAAAATTAAAGCCTCGTCTCCAATGCCCCCCACAATACATAAAATTGAATAATATGAAGAGGGCTAATTTCAATTGATTTTTTTTTTTCTTTTTCTTTCTAACAAAAACTCATTCCATATGTCAATGTGCAAGTAAAAACTACAAACCATACAAAGAAAAAAATAATAATTAACAATTAGAGAAAAACTCTTGCTAAACACAACAATACTCGTCCAACTTTCTGATCCCTGAGAATTTCGAAACAAATTAGGGTTAATTGCATCTTTTATGGCAAACGACGCCTACGGAACGATTTTTCTGCTTCGTTTCCCGATTCCATATTTTGCCGATATCTTGCGAAACCCGAATCGCATCAAGAGATGCACCCGATATGCCTCTTCTCGTGAAACCGACTGCGTATAGCCCATCTTTGCCTTTCCATCCATTTGGAAATGGATTTCTTGGAAAACCATCACTTGTGAAGAATTCACTTTCCTGCACAACAATATAATAAATAAATATATTAATTAAAAACAAAGTCATTTTCATTTTTAGTCAATATTTAACAAAGAATGTCAAATTATTATAAATAAAAATTAAACTATAAATTGATATGATGGAGAAACATATTTAAATTGAAAAAAGGGACTTGTGACTAGATTCAGAAAACAGAGAATCTAATCATCTATAGTAAAAACCCCAACTACCATAACTGTCACATGGATCCACATACACATGGTAAAATTAACCTATACATACATATATATATACACACATATTTAAACCCCCATCTCACTCCTCCCGGGCCCACCTAGGAGTGGAAATCGGACGGATTAGATTGAAATTAATATTTTTCAAAAAAAAAAAATCCATTTTGTAGAAATAAAATTTTTGATTCCAATTCCATGAATAAAAAAAACATCGAAAAAAAATCAAAAATTCGGAAATTGAAATGAATAAATTTGTCCCAAACTCCGATTTTTTTTTTTTTATCAGAATCGACGGAGTTCAAATTTTTCGAATTTTCAGGCATGTATAATACAAAATACACAATAATATTGATATAACAAGTGTAATTTTTTCGAAATTGTTTTTGGGATTTAAAAAAATATTTTCAGAAACTAAAATTGGAATCTATTATACATTCCAATTCCGTTAAAAAGAAATTCAGAAAAATTGAAAATCGGTGAAAAAATATTGTTCCAACTTAAAAAATATTCAGATCAGAATCGACGGAATTATTCAGAAATTCCACATAGACAAAAACATTCTTACATTTATTAACAAAAACAACAAATATATATATATATATATATATATATATATATATATATATATATATATCTGTATATATATATATATATATATATATATATATCATATATCATATATATATATATATATATATATATATATATATATATATATATATATATATATATATTCTCACCTTCAACCATGAAGGGACATTGCTGCAATAACCGGTAGCTAAAATGACAGAATCAATTTCAAGAATTTCGCCATTAACAAACTCAACACCTCCATGCAAGAACTTTTTGATCCCGTGCGGAACGACTTTTATTTCGCCCGATTTGATCTTCGAAAGCGTGCCTATATCCAAAACCGGAGTTTTCCCATTTGTGTTCTTCAGCTGTAATGGCCCCATTTTCGGCCTTCTCAGACCGTACTTTTCGATATTTCCGAGAATCAACCTCGACGCTCCCAAAAGTACTTTATCCACCACCCAAATCGGCATCCATTTCATCATCGAAACGCCTAGCTCGAACGTCGATTTTCCAAATATTTCTCTCGGCAATACATGTACCTATTCATCACCCCCCAAAAAAAAAAAATCGAACATCATAAGAATTCATCCAAATATATGTACAAAACTCACACAAAAAAAGAAAAAAAAAGGTTCTCTGTTTTATTTGGAGTTTATTGTATTTAGTACCCCTGTATTTATCGAATTACTAAAATTACCCGTATTATAAATATTAGCAAAACTCTCATATCATGCATTTTTTTAGCACGCAACCAGTAAATTGAATTTTTTTGGGTGTAATTTGCTAAAAAAAATGAGTTTATTTCATTTAGTACCACATGCTATAGTGATCTGTTAAAATCACTCCTTGTGCTATAAATATTAGCAAAAAAACCCCTATGATGTATTTCTTTAGCAAACAACTCCCAAATGGTGGATTTTTGTGGCAATTTGCGATTAAAATTATTCAAACTAGGACTTTGTTTGCTAATATTTATAACACGATGAGATTTTTAGCAATTAAGTATAAAATATGTGCAACTAAAATCATTATAGGGGTTTTTTTGCTAATATTTTATAATACAGGGGAATTTTTAGCAATTAATCTAAACACGAAGGTGCTGAATGCAATAAACCCATTTTCTTTATTATAAGAATTTGTAGAGAGAGAGAGAAGAGAGAGAAAATAACTCACGGAGCTTCGGACAACCATTGACGGAAGAGCACGGTGGTGGCAGAGATCAAGAGAAACCTCCATGCGGGAATTCCCACACCCAACAACCAAAACACGCTTCCCACCGAAACCCTCGCCGGACTTATAATCACAAGCGTGCACCACACCGCCGGCGAACTCCTCCCGCAGCCCATCAAACTCCGGCACCACCTTCTCCGCATTCTCCCCACTCGCCACCACCACCCACCTGCAGATGTACTCCGTCTCAGTCTCACTCTCACAAGAACCCCCCACCACCACCCCGGCGGCGGCGCGTGTCCTCACACGCCACAGCCCGCACGCGCCGTCGTACCTTGCGGAGCCCACCGTCTCCCCGAACCTCGGCGCAATGCCGAAGTGCGCCGCGTACGACTCCAGGTAGCCGACGAACTGGTGCTTGGAGGGGTAGTTTGGGAATTTCCGGGGAAAGCGGACGTACGGGAGCTCGCAGAACTGCTTCGGGAGGTGGAGGTTCAGCCGGTCGTAGGTTCGGTTCTGCCATAGCGACGCAATGCAGTTGGCTCGTTCGATTATCACGAACGGTACGCCTTGCTGCTTCAGCCCGGCCCCCACCGCTAGGCCCGACGGGCCCGCTCCAACTATCACGGGCCCGTTTACGAGCACGCAACGGCCCGTGAAGAAGTCGTGTTCTTCTTGGTCTGGTACACAAAGCTCACAATTATTCATTAATGTTTTTTTTTTTTTGGGAGGAATTAATGTATAATGAATGATGAATGTGAGAGAATTGAAAGTGGAATTTGTGGAGGGGGATTAGAGGAGTGGGGAGGTTTATATAGGGGGGGAATTTGTAATTTGTATTTAATTTAAAAAAATAAAATGAAAATGAAAATGATGCTTTTTCTGTTATTTTCAGATCATTAAACCCTCTCAAAGTCTTTTTCAATATATGCTATATTATTATTATTCAATTTTTTTTTTAAGAATGTATGTTAGAGTATGGAAATGAAGTTATGAGTGAAATAAAATTATGGGTATATAGCACTTAATTTCCCAGTGGTTTAATTTTTTTGCACATGACCCCCTTTATTTTAATAAAAGCACAAGATTTCCCTGTAGTTTGAACTATTTACACATGATCCCTTTATATTTTTGATATAAAAACATAAACCTCCTATAGTGTTCCAATTGGTAACCCCCTAGGGGTTAAGTGCATTTTGTCCTAACTATAAACAACTAATTTTGAATAACATCTCGGAGGTGGATATGATCAGTGAAGTATAACATCGGCTTATTTGATGTTGCATCCGATGAAACACATTGCAAGATTTTTAACAGTTGATTTTGTATGTAATCACACACGCTCGTGTGTATGTGTGTTTATAATAGGGTAAATTCTACTTTATCCCTTTTACTTTGGTTCGGTATCACTTTACCTCCTTCTACTCTTAATTGCATCGATTTGCCCTCCTTGCATTTGAAAAATTGTCTTAATGTGGCCCTCGTTGTTAGTTGTCAGACATTTGACGTTAACACCATTTGATCAAAGTTCTAGAATTACAAAAACGCCACATCTCCCAGTTTAAATAATTATTTTTAAAAAAGCAAAAAAAGAAAAAAATCAAGACAATGAGAAAATTAAACATAGTCCACAGCACCAGCCACATTTTTTTTTCTTTTTTTTAAAGTTTTTATAATAATTATTCAAACTGGGAGGGGTCGTTTTTCTATAATTTTCAGACTTAGATCAAATGGTGTTGAAGTCAAAGGTCTGAAAACTAACGACTATGGACACATTAAGACAATTTTTCAAGTACAAGAGGGCAAATCGATGTAATTGAAAGAAGAAAGGGATAAAGTGATATCAAACAAAAGTACAAAGAGCCAAAAATGAAATTTACCCTTTATAATATAATAGATGTTTATTTAACTTCATCAACAATTAAAAATGGCTCGGTGTAAATAAATTGGATACCCCATTGAACATGAATGTTTATGCATGGAAAGCAAGAAGAATTTCGATGGCACAATACATCCAAAACATAAGTGGTCAACATTCATCACAATCATGGTTGTCCTTCCCTAGGCTTACTTATCAATCATATGTAATCTAAATTAATTTTATCTTTTTTTAATTTAATTAAGTACCAAAAGTTGCTTTGTAGCTACATATTTTTTTACATATATATATATATATATATATACCGTGGACAAAAGAAATGCAACAAATAACTGAGTTAGCAATTATTTATTTATTAATTTCTACATAGTAGCACCAAATAAGCTATGATCACCACAGCTACTGCAGTTTCAAACTTAACTCGATTCAATCAATTTTTGTCAATTAACTCTTGTATATATATATATATATATATATATATATATATATATATATATATATATATATATATATATATATATATATATATATATATATATGCAAGTCATGCAAATATCCTTGTCATTTACAGTTTTCCGCATATTTTGAAAGGCTTTATTAATACTACTTTTCCACCCCACAAAAGGAATTAATAGCATTTTGCATGTTCGAAATACAGTTGGTTAATTCATAATGTAAATTTACGACTTTTTGTTTTGACCAGAGAGGGATTCGATGGAATTAATCATGGTCGAAATTGGGATCCAAGTTAATCTTTCTCCGGTCAAAACATGAAAGCCGTAGATCCACTTGTTGATTTATCCACAACATTTTGAATCACAAATCAGATCTCTTAAAACTCATGCGCTTTCTCTTATTCCATACATGTTAAACAGTGAGCTTTATGTAAATTGAGTATTTCAACAAATTATTGCATCCAACTTATGTAATTCTGTTGATATAATTAGCAGTGAACATATGAAATTGGTCGAAAATTGATAGCAAACTTCTGAAATATTGTTTCAAAAATTGGTGGCGAATGCACCCTCTTAGAGGCGCATTGTTCAAAGACGTGCCCACATTGTTATCAAAGACTTTTAGCTAATAAAAATTCGGCTTTTTTTTTTTAAATGACGAGAGAGAATTTTATCTGAAAAAATAATAAGTTATCATTATTAATAATCAAATTACATAATTACATCTTGCTAATTTAAAAAAAACAACAGGATTTTGACAGCTTCACAATTACAACAAAAGATTGTGTGGTCAATATATAATATTTGGAATTGTTTTAAGTTAGTTCATAGAGTAGCTGATGTCGGCTAAAATTTTAATATTTTCACAAAAGTATTTTGGCTTACATTTTCATTTACCCAATGAACCCTCCCTCACGTGTATATATATGGCAAATTACGGCCACTCTTTGAGGTATGTTGAAATTATTAAAATTGCCCTTATATTTTGATAATTACATTCACCTCCCTTAACTATGTATTATCTTATGAAAAAAATTCGCATTCAGTAGGTAAGTTTGACACCGTAATTATGAAAAGACCCCTTATACTTGGATAATTATAACCACCTTCCTCAATTATATATGTTTTTTTCTAAGAGAAAACCCTCATTCAGTAGGTAAATTTGACACAGTAATTATGGAAAAAAACCCCTCATATTTGAATAACTACAACCACATCCCTCAACTATATATGTATTATCTTACGAAAAAACCATCATTCGGTAGGTTAATTTGACAACTATATGTACACCAGACGAATAAATAGTTAAATACAAGTGGTGATAATTTGATTTATTTATTTAGGTGTAAAGTAGTGAAAAAAAAATATATATTCCACCACTTTAAGAAGTCTCGACGAAATTTGTTAGTTGGACTACAGAAACAAGACTTTGCTTTGCCTTTTTATACTTGATTGGATAAACGAACTTAAAAAATTAATTAATTGGGTACTTTTAATTTTTTTTTTATGTATAAAATCAAGCTTTAATCTTGCTTAAAAATATATAATTTAACTTTACGTACCAAATGGACATTATATAAAAGGTGCAATTTAACTTGCTTAAAAATATCATTTTTATTTTTCAAAAATGATTTTACATATATGTTACATGATCCAAGATCACATTATTTATTTATTTATATATATATATATATATATATATAAATATATGTATATTATATAATAAAATAACTTTACAGTGTGTAGGATTAAACTTTATTGTTGTAAGAAGAGAAAATATGGGATGAGTACAAAGATGCATGAGTCAGAGCTTATCTTCTTCTTATACTTAGTTTTATTTTTGAACTCACTTTCTGCACTGGAATGCTCTGTAATTTTCATTCCCTAGGAGAGAATCTACTATCTGTATATACACACACATATATACATACATATATATATGTATGTATTGCCATTTGATCTTTATTTTGTCATTAATTCGATTTTTAAATTTCATCAACCAATTTTTGAGTAGTAGTGCATGCTTAGTTAATCCCTCCGTTTCTGTTTAAGTGTAGTTTATTTTTAAAGTAAATGTTTATTAATTAAGAGAATTATTAAATTATCTTGATTTATGGGGAAAAAAAAAAAGTCTTTATTATTTTCATCTTCTGTTTCTTATTTTATTAATTTATTACTAATGTTGAGGTAGAACTAAAGGAAAAAATTGATTATGCGCGCGCCCTGAAACTCTCAAACGACACTTAATATGAGAGGAAAAAAATGTAAGTATAACGCGACATTTAAAAAGAAACAAATGGTGTATATTCAATTTCTTTACATTATTTTCAGTGGGGTAGTTATGCACTAGTTTCATGGTTGTTAAATCGCAGATCGAATCGAAAAATTACTTTGTAAAATTTACAAATCATAAATTGGTTATAGTATTATTTGTTTTGTTGAAATTAGTAAAAATAGTATATTTAATGATATCATGCTTAACAACACTTCAAAAAAATATTTGTTTTAACATAAAAATAAGGTAAATTTTGAATCATAAAAAAGTAATTCAAACTAGTGTGATATATATTGTATATCTTTAGATTGCATAGATAATTATTTTTATGATGATCTAGTAAATGGAATCTAAAAGTGATAATTATAAAATCTAAAAATAAAATATTCCAAAAAAAAATAAAAAAAAAAATTAAAAGAATTGAAATAGAAAGCAAAAGAAGATCACAATCGATGAGTGGGGGTAGGAGGCAATGCTAGGAAGGTGATGGACTCGGTGTGAGGGCCACGTGAAGTGGGCAACAAGTTTTTTAACATTTATTATATATTACACTATTTATTTAAAAAAAAAGTTATAAATTCTTGAATTAATTGCAAAATTATAAATTATCATGAGGTACTACTAAAATATATTTTAGAAATAAGTTTTGAATTGTGTTTGTACTAAATAAGACCATCAAACCATACAATACTATTAGCAATTTCAATTATAAATTATAGTCTAATTTATACATTTGTAATATATGATCACAAATATAAGTTAGGAACTCTTTTATTTTAAAAAATAATGCTTTTAATATTAAAAATCCAAAAGTAAGGTTCATACATAAATATAGTTAATTTATATCATATATGAAGAAAATAATAAAGGGGCCGCAATTTGCTAATTGTTTTAAGCCAAAACATACATGTCGTCGATGACCTGAGGTTTTACTCAGAGTCCGTATGGCTAAATTTATTTTAAAAATCTGATGAACTGTTATATCTAATAAGCTGTTTTTGGAGCCGATAAAATGTTGTATTTTTTTTGAATTTATTTTTGAAGTTTGGATAATAAATCAATAAGCTTACTAAGGCAAGATAGAATATTATATGAAAGAAATAAATAAAAAAAATAAAAAAAAAAGTTAGTAAGGC